GTCTCTTATGTGAAAGATGGGTGACTGTGGGTATGAGAATTCCATGCCACGAGCTCAGTGCCCGCTGGATGTTCTGTTTCATGGCTATACACGCTCTATATCATCCTCGTAGGCACAGTAATTAAAGAAACATCATCCAATTAGCGAGGTCCTTGACTGGGCATCGTTTTCACGAGCTCCGTGCTCAATTATGCATAGGTCAAGCACACGTCAACCCTCTGGTGCCATACTGACAAAAGACGTCTTTTGAAGGACGGAAATTCGGCAACAGATACGGTAATTAGCAGCTGTTGTGAGGCGCTAGTTTGTTGGTGATTTCTTGACGGAGCAGGAAGTGCCGCATCTAATGCGCAGCAGATGTGAGCAGCAGCTGAGCGGCTTCCGATAGGAGAGAGCCGCCCGCCACGGGCTCATGCCTCTTCCGTTGTCGGGACGTCTTTAAACGGACATCCATGCAAATTTATAGATGATCGTATTGTAGATCGGAAAAGAAGATAAAACAATGGAGGATGAGATAAGCTCAAAGGAAACGAAAGGAAGGGAAACCCAAGGAAAGTCTCTTTATACCTCCACTTGTTCATACTTCCAGTGGAAAAGTAGAAGAGCAAAAGAGGAACAAATGAAAGGATTGGGAAGTTTTGGAAGAGAATTCGTCATGGTTGGCTCCTGCAGCTCAGATTACTCCTGTAGAGCGATTCGACTAACTTTTTTTGTTTTCGAGTAGTTTCGTAGTACTGCTTTATAAGCAGGAAATCTTCAGAATTTAGAAAGGTTGACCAGAAGGCAAACGGTCCACGTATTTTCTCATTTATCAGTCGCTTGTTGATTATTTGTTTACTTACTAATTCAATAGGTCAGCAGACATATCGATATGACAGATATATTTATCGGGATTTCGGGCTCATGACACACAAGTCGATTTGCCTTGTCTGGTTACATTTTGTCTCCTTCAATGGTGTTTTACCGACATCAGCTTTTTAGGTCTATGAACCGCCCACTGGTAGGGTTGATTTCCTTTTGAAATGAGTGATTTCCTTGACAATACCAGCAGCTCATAAAGTCGTCACCGAAGAGAAAATACCCAGTTAATGTCTGGCAATAAAATTTTATTGTCTCTCTTACACTGTCGACCTGCGCTCTTTAAACGACCACCTCATTTCTATAAAATCGCCTATAAGGATCTCTGGTGCTGAACACTATCAATCTGTCTGTTGCAGGAATTGGATGTGTCATTCAATCCACTCGAATGTGTCTGTCCTCTATGGGAGTTCATCGGTTGGGCAGAGAGTTTGGCTCTATTTCAAGAGGATTCGTTGCCATGTCAGCGACCAAAAAGCCTTCGCAGAAGCCTTCTAGCTGCTGAAGAGGTCTGTTGTCCACTGTGTTCGGACGTTCCATTAATTTTAGCCCATCTACCCTAATAAATGTGTGTCCGAACGGCGCCGAGATGTTCGCCTACTCATTTATCATCTTATTGAGGGATTTAATCGCTGATGTGTTTCGATGTAGCCGATTCATTAGCCTATGCTCCATTAGGCAAATGAGCATCGATGAGGGCCAATAACTTGCGCAACATCCCCTCTCACAATCAGTCTGTAAATGTGAATTTTAAAACTGATGACCCAGTCGGGGCGAAAACTGGAATATGGTTATAGTTTTTCTCAGAATCCCTTTATTCCCCTATAAAAAGTAGGCAAAGACGGGAAAAGAGCGACGATTCCATCAAGTCTCTCGAAACTCCTGAAAACTATTTTCAATTCGAATTATGCTATCCGACCCCATTTAGAAGGGATTTGATGCCTTCAACTTTCTAGGAGTCGACACCACCTTTCAGGCTTGTAACTTCAAAGTTTTTTTTTCTGACTGTTATGGATTGTTCCAGATGATCTGCGGTCCTGAAGTAGCAGGAGCTCCATTTGTCGAACAAATGACTCTTTCTATAGGAGATCCCCTTCGGATGTGTTGTTTGATATCAGCTCATCCAAAACCAGTCATGTGGTGGGAGCACGAGCAGCAGAATATTTCTCGGGTTGGTTTGATTCCTATAAAATTATTGAAATTTTGAAGAATGTCTTGATTTCTGTGAAGAACATATCATCGCCTGACGAACTATGCTTATGCAGTCTTCAGCTCGAATAGGGTGGGAGCGGAAATGGGGGGGTTAGAATTTCTATGTTTGCACATTGCAAGCCGAGACAAGCCGCTGCCCACACGGGAGTACATGTGCTTGAGCTCTTAGGATATACGGAAGTGCTTCGACCGAAATAGGGAATGTACCAGCCGTCTATAAAAGGGGAACTCCAACCTTGCTTTCGTCCTGAAGATATTGTTCAGTTGAGCCGTACATCACATTCAGTGTAGAATCATTGGGGAACTCAACTTGAGAAAGGATTTTTTGTGTGGAATGGGCAATGTTGAATAACCGGTTGGATAATTTGATTGCCTTCAGGGCGGAATCCGTATTGAACTAGAGATCATTAAACAAGTTTCAAATTGTAAACGGGTAGGTTAGTGATCAAGCCCTTAAAACTCTTCCTAAAAAAGTAAAAGGGGTAAAGCTTTAGAGACTGAGTCACGCAGATTCTGTCTTAGATCTGCTTCCTAGCAAATCTATGTTGATTCTACTCTTGATTCTTTTGTTGTGTAGCTTAATTCTGAATTCTGGAAGACTGCATCCCTCGATTCAGGACGCATCATTGAGAAGGATACCAGAATCGGGCCAAATCGAATTCTGTCTTGAAGCCCAATCCGTAGGTATCGAGGATCTCGGTGGTTACAGATGCTTCGCTCAACTTGAAGGTAATTTTAAGCAGTTGAGTTAGCAAGACTTTGAAGATCATTTGAGAAAAAGTAGGATAAGTGTGTAAACTAATAGTGCATATATGGGATTAGCATCATATGAAATGAATTTGTGTTGAAAAAAGTTGTTAATGTAAGAAACATCGTCTTGCATCATTCTCAAGTGTTACATGCTTAGACTGATGCTATGTTCTGGACGATTTTCCTATTAAACCGCAATTGAAGCAATTATGCGTGGATCCAAATTCGTTCTAGTAATTGACCGTAGCACGTTTAGATGTCGTCTCTTCGAAGGAATTCCATGTGAACAGGGTTCAAGAACCATTAGTACTGAAATCCCCTCCGAATATCATCTTCTATTGCCAGTTCAGCATCGGACTGTTCGTTTTTGTAAGTTCAAAGAATTTTTCTACAACTGGATAATGGGTTCTCTCCGAGGAATATTATTTTCTACGTATAGAAAGAACTTCCTGAGCCAAACAAGGTCACCATGTTCATGATCAGCAACCTCTTCTCTAATGAGAGTTCTGTTGTTCCGAAACTCGTTCTATGGTTTCACACAAAGTTAATAAGATGCCAGTCCAAAATCAGGTGTTGAGTCTTCAGGTTAAGATCGTGACAAGGCACCAGTCATTTTCACCCTTTCAGAACGAATTCTACCACCTGACGGACCTCAATGCAACCATAAGCTCAAACTGCTAGCTGTTGAGTGCAAAACTTTAGGAGTTTTCGTATAAATTCTGAACGTCTACGACATAATGCTAGGATTCGAGCTGTTGGGATTTTCAGGACCTAGCTCTATCCCAAACTAACTCTTCATCCTTATCTCTGATGGAAATCCATAACTATCACTGAACACCGTGGTCTGCAAAATTCATTGTTTGGAAAGTGGTTTTTGTCCAATTCCTATTTAGTTACAGGCGTTTTGCTGTGCGACGTGCTGCATTCTCAGACGTGGTCAGCCGATGAAGACTGGACCGAAGAAGGATAGCAACCATTGTCATACGGTAAGTTTACTCATACTTCATGACTTTTCACCCGAGATCAAAATTTACAAAGATCAAAAACACAGGCTGAATTATCCGGTCCAAGTTTAAAATTGTCCGTCCATCTGCTGGGTTAAATCTCTTAGTCATTCTGGTCGAGCCTACTTTGCATTAAATCCCGTATGGGTCGTGCCTATTGCTTGCTCTTCACAGTAAAACTGCCACTGACTGCTTTCATAGTCCACGACTTGGCCCGCGACTGATCGCGGGCCAAATCGTGGACTATGAAAGAAGCCACTCACGTTATGTTGGAGAAGATGTACGGAAAGGCGTGGTTTCAAAGAATGAATTATCCGTTAATTATTACTTATTGAGAAGGTATTCGACTGTTTTTAAAGTGTTTTTGCGTCCTAAAAACTTACTGTTCTTGCTTATTGGGGAAAATATGGGCGGTATTGCTTTCTCACAAAAATAGACCCACTGAAAGTGCCTGCCAAATGGAAGTGTCATTTCTGAGTAAGAAAACCAAGTGTAAGTGTGAGGAGTAGCCCATAACCAGCAGTTACTCCATTCGTAGGAGACATCGTTAAGAAGTGGGAATGGGAAGACAGTGCGTTCATCAATCCCAGTTCTTTCAAGTATTTTTCACCGCAAAGAGATATATGGCACTGAAGAAGTGGCTACAACTTTTAGTATCTATCAACCGCAGCTTAGGGTAAGCCATGAACCCATCTGCCGCCTAGGCTCTGCGCCGTTGCTTGCATGTTTAGCCCATTCCGACTTGGTTCATCATATTCCTTGTCCATTATATACCAGTGAAATTTATTTACAAGCCAATGAATGAAGAATAAAAGCTAAGAGTCTGTCGCTAGCACAGATGAAATGTCGGCTTTTGTGTTGTGTTTGTGACATTTCTTGAAATTTTTAGTTTTTGTTCATGATTAGGTAGTGTCTAGGAGAGTGCTCAGTGGAAGCATCATAGTCGTCCAAATGTTCTGAAGATCGGTGTGGCAGGATTTCAGTTCTTTGATTTTCTTTGATTTATCCAATCTTTGTTGTCGTTGTTCATGGTCGGCGAGGCGACCACTGGTGCTGGTGTTGTGTTTCTATGTCTGTCTGACCCTCCAGGAGGACCGCTATCCATCGAGAATTGGATGTCGATCAAGTACCACCACATATCGATGGAGATTTCGCGAAAATAGTGACGTTCTATCCGTTAAAACCGATTCCTACGACTCGTGACGGAATCGTTTTCTTTCGTTTCCCATATTATACATCACTTCTGTACGGCCTTGCGTGATTCCCTACTCCGCCAGAGCTCCAGGAGCCTTCGCTTGAGCAAGTGTTTTCATGGGCGTAGATGATGTGAACGCGCCCTGCCTGAATCCAAGCTCATCACTCTTTCATAATGAATTCTTTATAGGTTGTCCACATCATGGAGGACAAAAATCAAAGCGTCGAGACGACAACGACGCCAACTTACTGTGACCATGAACACTACTACTCAACAGAAGATTACTGTACCAATGATTTTCAAAACGCAAACGACCACGACGACGAAGACGACGACTGTCTGGCACCAATGTATCCGTACGGCGAAACGCGTCGATGTCTTCAGCCGTCGCCATCTCCGGACGACGTCACGCAGCGGCGGATCACCTTGTGGCGACATCGCATCGCCGCTATGCCGGCACCATTAGCGCAGTTTGACAAGGAGACCAATATTATGGGCATTGTGCACACATCCGTTTAGCTGAAACTGCTCAGCTCTATACTTTGGCATTTTCACTTGGATCAGCTCAATAATTTGGATTGAAATTGAATATATGATAAATACTAATGCAAAGTTTGCACCGCTATGGAGTAGAGGACCAATATAGCTCTCGATACTCAATTTTTCTGCTTAAGAGCTATTTTCAAGAATTGTTCCAAGTTTTATGTGGGACCAAGTGAGCAACGATGATGATTACTCTGGAGTTTTTATAAGGGATAGTTCTAACAACTTTTAGAATTCCATAGTATATTCCGAATATATTTCATCTCTTTCTTGTAATAGGGGTTTCCAAATCCTCTGTAGTCCAGTGCCACAGGTTCTTTACGTTGGAGACTCTCATGTACTTAACATTCCTACACTTCATGAGTTTTGTTTACGAAGAATTTCTCTTTCTCGAAGATCTAAAACTAACCAAGTCGTGGAGGCTCAAAGCCACAGTTTACAATAATTTCGCAGTACCCTTTTAAAGTCGAGAAGCGGAAGCATGCATTCGTTGGAAGTAGTGCATCGGTGTTAGAGGAAGCAAAAGTAAGGCCCCTCGAAACGGGTTAAAAGAGCGGTTGTGCGAGATCGCCATGACGAACTGACATGGGATAGGTATTAGGAAGAGATTTTAGTTGTTGCTATAGAGCAAAGAGCTGGCTACATCAAGTCAAAACTGTCCAGAATTGCCTCCCACTGTCGCTATGAATCACGACAAGTTGTTTGAACTTCCTATTATACATGGGTTCCCTTGTGAATGGTACAGCTTTGTAACGCCCTATCTGAGCCGTTTCCGACCTGGCAGCCCTACATACGAGATGGCAACAGATTTCTCCTAGCTTGATATCTCGTAAACCGTTTCTATCGTGAGTTGTGCCTTTAAGTGATGAATAGGGTTGCATCGGCAAAGTTTACAGTCCCCCCCCCCCCCCCCCCCTACAGACGTGGGTTCAAGTATGATCTCCCCAGCACCATTATCGCTCCACCCGTTTGTAAAGCCTTCTCCCCTAACCATACCCTGTTTTAATGATAAAGCCCAGAGAGCGATTCTCGGGTAATTTCCATGCATAAATGTACCGCTAATGGTCCCAGTCCCCTATCCTGAGGGAGATCTCGATATGTTCAATCTTGTCGGTCATATACAATGTGTTGCAAACCACTTTCAGAAAAAATGAGCCAAGCAAAAGAGTGGTAGCCTCCAACTGTCCTTCCTACATTTCATGTAGACAATTTTCTGCAGAACTTTCTTCGTTCCTTCGCTCACTTCACCTCTTCAATATCTCCTTTTCGAGTCTCATGACTTGACCTATTCTTTCACTCCGAGTTCTCATGTGTATTGTGCCTTTCCTTTACAAGAAAAAAGAACGTAATTTCATTACATTTTGATCTTCTGTTAGCCCTTACTGATAAATAAATTACAACATTTTGAAAATAATCACGTATCACAGATCAATAAAAAGATGTAGAGGGAAACTATTTACACAAATGACTAGTCAGTCAAGTGTTTAACAATAGTAGTAGTCTCTTCTTGTTCAGCTGCACCCCTATTATTCAGAAACAGTCTTAACAACAATAAAAACAAGCGAAGACCAAACCCATGACTTTGCACAACACTTCTGAACAAAAATCGATGTCGTTCTTGTAGAAGCCGGCTTGGCGAACAGCCTGCATAAGTTGTATGTCCCGAGAATCCCCGAATCTCAAAAGAATTGGAAGGTAAATGAATTGTTGCAAGCAGCCGATATTTGGTTCTAATGCTGGTATTAAGAAGAAAAAACCTAGTTCAATCAAAGGGAAGTGATAGTTAACGCAAAGAAAATTAGTCGTAGGGTCATTTCACCTTAATATACGGTTAAACTGTATAGGAACGACACCGATTATTCATAACCCAACAAAAACGTCAATTTCAGATTTTCCATGAAAGAAAGAGAAATGAGCCAAGAAACCCACTTAATGGACAGGATACAGTAGAAAGCACAGGGACTAGCCCGAATCTAACGAACATAAGGATCGATTCATCCGAAGAATCATTACCACTACTCAGGGTGTGATCGTTCGCTGGTACGCGAAATGTTATCGGCACTTGGTGAATTAGCACCACGTGAGCTTGACATAGGAGAATTAGCACCATGAGAACTTGAGGAAGGTGATGACGTCGAGGTTCTGAGGATGAGTCGCGCCAGTTGAGAATGACCAACACTTGACAACAGTTCCACTACGTCCGGCCATTCACGTAAACTTGCTTGAGCATATATAAATTGAGTCTGAATCAAATAATCATTATAAACTCCAAATCGTACTGATTTTGATGTAAGATTTCATTTAAAATTTTGACTAAGTAGCACTGAAACTCACTTTTTGATCAAATGATAAATGAGTTATCCATTTACTGAGCACATCTTCCGTATCCTCCAAACCCATCTGAAATAAATTCCACTGCATGAAGAAGAAATTCAAAGTCAAGAACTCGCTGCAAGAATAAACTACAAAATCCGTGGGACCAACCTTAGCATATACGATACTTTTGTTCCACTGCCGTTGTGACTGGAGATATTTACAAGCGTCACCTCCCGCTTTCACTAGGAACAGCAACTCAACACCATCTGAAGATCATTACTTGATGACGTAGGGACTTCAGCAGAAGCTGGATAGTGCGCTCGTAGACAAAACGGTCTTTGTATTTCAATAAAGCTAGCACTAGATTAGAAAGAAGTAAGAGTTGAGCAACATAGCGAACTAAATTTAAAGAGTTATTATAGGTTCCATGTTAGAAATGAACGCACCTTCAATCATATCAGAGGCAATAAGATTTGTAGCAATCAACTTGATCAGTGACCGAGCTTGTTCACATTCCTATATTAACATATTATTCACTTATTAATACAAAATCTACTTTTTGTCCTTTGGAAGTGTACAGATAGCATAAAAGAACCATAAAAAGCAAAAGCATAACTATAAGGATGCTCAAATTTTCCTACCTGACTCGACACCAATAGGGCCGCTTTCATACTAGCATGACGCAAATCAGTGGAACCGATTAGCCGATCTACAGCTCGCTCCTGCAATTCTTACAGCTTAATTTTTTTCCAAGATCGTAAAAATCAGCAGCCGAAAATGTTATACAAGTTTTTTCATTGTAACGTGAGAGAATACAAACGATACCTTTGCTTTCCCACCAGCGACGACAGCCCTTTCCACTAGTCGACTTTCCTCGACGTTTGCAGCCCCGCAAGCAGCGCATGTCACCCGTAGTTCTCTTTCCTTTAATAAGAAACTGTGGACTCGTTAGCAATCAATTCCCTCCAATAAGGCTTATTATGATTCACCAAAATAAGCAGAAATTAATCTGAACCATTTTTCAAGTCGCTCTTGTTGTTATAAATCAAAAACAACAATACTAAAACACCCTGATTTTCTCTGTTTTTCTTTTGTTTTTGTTGCCTTTTTTTTAATTGTAAAAAGGTAAAAGTACAAAATGTGTACCAATAGCAATAATACCAGAATCTTTTCCAATAGAATCCTTCTCACCCGAAAAGACGCGCTCGGCCAGAACATTTGCAAATCTGGAGGAAGCTGAGGCTCATCTTCTGTCGACAGTGATGAGCAGGTGATAGCTAGCAGATTGTAGATGGCTACGTCCCCGATAAATCGGCTCCACAGCATTTGATTCTTCAGTCCCGATAGATCTACCGTGTCCCCCGATCCCGAGGTGGAAGTAGATGCGATCTAGAAGAAGAAAAAATCAGATTCTGACGATTAAACATCAAAGAGTGAAAAACGATCAACAGAAGGCATGCTTTCTGTAGGGTAGACCGCAGTTTTTTCTTCACAAATTTGGTATGCCGCACCCCGACCTGGTGGCATACATTCTAACCCATTGCGAACCGCGTGCTGCACTTGGTGGAGCAAGCCCCTCTGCCTCTGCACGCCCACGTTTTCGTCCAAAATCACCCTAGAGTTTTATTAAAGTTCGAACAGCCCATACTTTGCGATTCGCTCAAACAACCGCTCTGCACGCCGTAAACCACGTCGCCTGCGTCGATTTTGAAGGAAACGCCGGGCACATGCGGCAGCTAGCGCAAAACACTGCGGTACGCAATGGACTAAATATATCACCTTGCGATTCACCTTTCTCTGTACAATTTTCGAAAGTGCCTCATTTTCGCTTGCTGATTGGTCGAAATCACTTTTGAGCTGAGCAACCTTCTTGTAATTCAGTAGCAATGGAATATCTGAAATAGGCGATTTTAGTAGAGTGCTTGAGCAAGGGAGGGCCAAGAATTGACATCGCTAAGATATGTAGCACCAAAAATTTTGCAGATGAAAAAAAGTAGCCAGAGAAGCAGCAGAAAAGAGGTTAATTTGATTGAATGTTGCCTTAATCTCTTTCGATGTAACAACTAATTGTGTTGTTCGTGGCATACATACACAAAAACTCGAAATACAAACGTGTAAAAAAATTGAGTAATGCTTAGCCCAGAGGGTTTCCACCTGAATGTATACAGTCTTTCAAGCTTATTCACCAAACCATGGGTGACATAGAGAAGAAATATGTTAGCTCACCTTTTTCCAGCATCGGGGAGTTTTTTGCGGACCCTGGAGCGTACCGCAGCACATTGTCATTTGTAAGAAGCAGCGGTGAGACACCGCAAAGATCCATGTCCAGGGCTGATCGTGATGAATCCAACGTTACCTGATGCTGTCGTGTCAAAGCTTCTGTATCCCATAGGGATAATTCTCTGCAAGGAAATTTTTATTCACTTTTAAACGTATATTGATTATAGGAAAATTGCACAAAAAAGAAATCTCAAAGCAGATTCAATACAAACCTTTGATGGAGAACAGCAAGTGTATGATCACCAGCTAGACGAGAGAACGTCATCCGCATTACAGGAAACCGAGAAGCCCGGACATGACGCGATTGACGACGTCCGAGATCCCAGATCTTAAGGGAAGTGTGATAAAACTGTCCCACAAAGTTAGAAGTAGATCATCCTACTCACCACTACTCGTCCTTCAGCATCCCCCATAGCTAGCAGATCGTCTTTCCAAGCCATCGTTCGTATCGACCAACCGCCACTTTTCCACTGAAACAGGATGGCACTCCATAGCACGAGGACATTTCCAACTCAGACTATTCCCGGGGAAAAGCAGACTTACCGTCTTAACCAGTAACAATATCCTTCAATTTTAGCTCGAAATGTAAAGCTTAGCTCCCAAATTTAATTGCACACAAAAACACACCCACCAATACTTGACCTAATGTAGACGCTACGGAGTGCGGATCGTTTTCGGCAAAATACTGTAAAGTTAACGCACGAGCACTATATGTTAGTGAAAGCGTTATCCTCTGCGAACAAACAAAAGACCCTAAGCTTTTCATTAAGTACCTGGGTGTTCACTTCTTTGCCATCTTTCACATGCAGTCCCTTAACAACGACATGGTAGAGGCGATTCTCTGGAGGAAAATTTCAAGGTCAACAACAAGACGGAGGAAATTAAAATTGAACTGATATGAAAAAACAAAAAATCGAAAATGTTAAAAACCGAAAAAAATGGGCAAATGTCAAAATNATTACGATGATGTGGGCCTAATGTGGAAAGTTCAGCAACCTTATTAGTCAAATGCCAAACTGTCTTATTTTGATGACAAAATTTGGGCCGCTTCACCGCAGAAAGTGATATTTCTACTTTTTGGTCAAAACAAAAACATAGAAAAATGATTGATGACGAGGAATCCTCGCTATACAATTCTTACCATATCAACTATCAAAGGACAGGTTTTGCTCATCCTTCTTAGAAGTCGCAATCCTTTAAGATCCCAAATTTCCAAAGGTTCACGTTGAAAAGCTAACGCTAAGTAACACCTGAAACGAGTTTAAAGAATGGGAATCATAATTGGCAGTTGGCGGAACACTCGAAATCGAACTTACTGATAAAATGAAACTCGCAGTAAAGTTACTGGGGACTCGTCGGCTTCCGGACGTATTCGGCGCTTCACACCTAAGAAACAAACTCTCATTTGTATTTCACAACCTGATCCCTTCTTGCCAGACCGACTTTTACGAGAGAAGCCGAAATAACAAGTCAAAATTCACCTGTTCGGATATCGGTGGCGAAAATATCGTTTCTTACAACTTGAGTTGTACTCAGAGAGTGATTATAACCAGCTGTGAGTATGATGTATGTCCCACCCCATTCCAGTGACCTGGAACGCATGAGAACGGAACATTAAACGATTCAGAATTTTTGCATAACGTGCTTACTTGATCGGTGATGACTGCACGGTAAACTCACGAACAACATCACAGCTGAACACATCAACTATGTGCACTACGCCGGAATGTGATCCAACAGCAACGAGATGCGCCGACCCAAACGAAGCTTTATCTGAGATCACGTTTTTCAAAGCGTTTAAAAAATGAGCGCAAATTTCAGAACGCTTCAATTTTTTCGACGACAAAGAGCGGCACCGCTTTCTTAATTTTGCAGTCTCTTATCTTTGCCTATTGGCCTCTTTTCAATTACATTTTCATTTATAGAGCTTATTTTAAAAAAAGAGAAACAAGCACTGCGGCTAGTTTTGCTTCGTTCGAACTTTAGAAAAATTTGAATTGGACCTGCGAAAACTTTTGGACAGTTGAGCGTTTTTCACTAGCAACTGCTGTGAAGGTCCCATTATTCAATACCAAAACACGTGCTCAATAGTCTCTGCGGGCCGTAGTGACGAAGAAGAAATAATGAGATAGAAAGTGCCAGAAAATATCGCCAGGGAAATGGCTGAGTTTAAAAATTTGCACTAGTTCATTGAAAATTATCATAAATTTACAGAATAAGCAAGGAAAGGAAGCAAGAACTTACCTAGGGAATCATCACCTTCTTTCCCCAAGTCATCTATTGGTCGCATTCGCAGGCATGTTACTCCCGACGATAGAGCGTCAAGAAATCCCGTTTGTTGAATACTTTAAGGAAATGAGATCAACAAAGATGGCCGAGGTAAAACCGAATCTAACACCAATGTATAAAAAGCTAAATAAACAAAATAAGGTAAGGGAAAACATAAAAATAGATAATCAGACTACAAANAAACTCACTTGAGGGTCCCTATAGGAACTGTATTAAGATCTTTAGTAAACGCTAAATTGTCATCAATATATGACCCTCGATATTCCAGTACTGGTGACTCTTCAGAGATCTGAGATGATAATCGAAGAGATGAAAGGTGAAAAAGGGTGTGTAAGAGAATAATCAAAAATCTATACCAACTGCCACAAAACGAGCTTCCCACAACTGAACAAAACCGCTACAGAGTTCTGAGTCACTGGGCACAATGCTGCACATACAGCTCTTTGCTGCGAACCTAGTCGTTGAAAATCGCCCGAAGTCACCTATACCGTTGGACATTTCGATGAAGAATAGGACATTGCTTCAAACAAACTACTTACTTTTTCCACGCCCAGTTGTGCATCAGCTCTTTCATCATTGGCTGAGAATGCGCCTATCCTCAACAAAACGCTGCCATTAGCATGAACGGAGAATAGGGCGTCACGAGTGGAACAGCACAGCAAAGATACAAGATTAGGTTCCATATTAATTGAAAAGAGTATTGCGAACACTTCTGTGTGAAGGCAGTGTACCTGCAATGAAATGAGTGAACTTGAGCTCCTATTTTCTATTCCTGAGCATTTTATTATGCCTGTCTCGCACTTACTTGTCCATGACTAGCGGCAAATAAAAGGCTGCGATAAGCCCTATGGAAACATATGCATTGAACGCTGGACGCTGACTTCACTTGATCATCACATAACGTGACAGTCCGGCAGGAGTTAGAGGGCGCATTGTTGAGGTTGACGTCAGCACACAACATTACACTACACCCCAGTGATGAAACTAAAAACACCATGTTCTGTTAAACTATCACTGAATACGCTTACTGGAAAAAAGTGCAACTCACAAGCAGCATGGCGAGTATTGAAGGGGTCAATAGCCATATCGAAAAGAGCAGTGGTATACGTCACCGACCACATTTTTTCTCCATTCTCAGTATTCCAAAGAATGAGACAATTGCCGGAGTGTAAGGATAACAGAAAATCTCGGCTCATGTCCTTCCAAACAAACCATTTCATATCTGTAAAATTCAATGTGTGTACGTATTAGCAGGTGTCCACTGAACTGCCACCAACTCACTGAGAACATTCGAGGTAGTATGAGAAAATTGGCATCTTTTAGAAGCAGTGGTAGGCTCAGAAATGATGATCTGGCCGCTGATATCTGAAGACGCAATTCGGTGGTCATCGGCTCTGGTTTGTTCAATAATCGAAAATGGGGGTGACCAGCACACCTGAACGAGGAAGCTGTGGCCCGGTAATCCACAAAACTGAGAGGTCATCAGGCGACCGATAATTCTAATGCAAAAAATATGATGGAAACGGGTAAATTGTCAAAAACAAACATGATCAATAGCAGTGAGATGCAAGTCGATTGTTTGGACACGCTTAAAAGTGAAAGCATCCACAACAAATAGCAAATTGTGTGATCCGTAAACGATCGCGCCTTTCGAGTTCCTGAAGTAAATAATGAATTACGTCTTGTCCGAAGCTTTAAAAGACAGAAAATTTATCATATTAGTAAAAATCGAAGTCAGGTATAGACTCAAGAAAGGTCTGGGAGAGATGTTGGCAGCTAAACCTACAACAAATGCTTACACTCGCCGTGTTTTCCTGTGAAGTTTTTGTTACTGAAAGCTGAAACACCTCAGACCAATGAACCTTTGGCAACCTCTGAAGATGCGAAAATTGGTGAACTGATCTAACTCGCATAAACATCAACAATGAATTAAAAAATGTTAATTCGGTCCCATGAACATCTGGGTTTCAGTCAGCCTGATTCTTTACTATGGTGTCGACGACGTAAGTTTTCATAGTCAGCGGGAAAAAGCAATTGCGAGGATGTCGACTTTCTTATTTTCTACTAGCTCGCTTTTGGAACTTAACTGGGATATCCTCAGGAGGTTAGATTCCAGATTTAGCAACTAGAAAAGCAATTGAGGATAACTCACCAATCTATGGCATTTCGATTGCTCGGATGCAATGCACCAGGCAATGTATTCGGCATTTCACGTTGTTGATGTGACGACTTTACGGAGCATGAGTCTTCCTGTGAATTGATCATTTCTAATTGAAAAAAAGAAATCCCACTAAAGCAACGAAATCCAACGGTGACCCNGACCCATGAAGGTCAAGATCAAGACAATCGATTAGATGACATGGCCCCATGGCATTTGAGCACATGTCTTGCTTTGGTGCTTGACCCCTGCCAGCATCTCCCAAAGGACATCCGCAATCGTAATTGAATTTTTTTTACAACTCTGAAGGTCTTGAAAATGTCACAGGAATGTTGTTTTTGAAGTTATTTTACGCTTACTTCCATCTTTTTGAGTTGTGACATCCAAGTGTCCTAACCCAACTTCAAAATCGGTATTTCTCATTGATTCCATTAATTTTTTGAGTGGAAAAAGATCTTTATTTTTTCGTCAGCTTGATGTTTAATTGAAAGTATGACACTTTTTGAAATGCTGCACAATAAATTAACAAACAAAAGCTAAAACGTTCTAAGATCTCTTTGTTACAGATTTGCAAGTCAAGAAGGATTGAATACAAACCAAGACTCCTAAGACTAAATTCATCTAGGAAGTTGTGTTCTACAGCGGAAGCCTTCACTTAAAACCTAGGTGAGTTTGTGAGTCTCAGAGAAAAGGCGAAGCAAATTCAAATCCAAAAATTAATGTTTTGAGAACAAAAAGAATAGTATATTTTGAAAACAAGCTCCAATCTAAGAGGCTATGATCAAGGCATACTCAAGGTGTATCGGAAAAGATTAGATATAGATTCTTTGTGCCGTAGGATATTTCAAACCGGTTGCTATGAGGGAATAAGATAGAAGTATTTTCAGAGTTCGGATTTTTTTCGCTGTGAAAAAGGCTTTTGTTCATAATAGAGCCAGTTCTGATCTTCACATCTATTCTTTTCTTTTCTCTGTTGACAGCACTTTTTTGACTAACGCCCTCGTTAAACAAAACAGTGCGATTTCGAAGAAGTGAGACTCAACGTCGATTCCCGTCAGACAAATCCTTCACTTTGACTATGATGTGACATGATTGATTCGTGGCCGACTGCATGGGAAATGTTCGCTTTTAGAAAAAGGCAAAGATTTTCATCACAACGGAAGCAGAAGGGAAACAGAAAGCACAACATCGAACAGCTTTTATTCATCGCGTTCAGTTTCTAGAAGGGAGTTGATTGAAGAAAATAGAAACTCGTCACTATAATAACAACTCATTTAGCTCAAAACCAACAGCTTTTCTACCGAGTTTTTACGAAATTCTACATGCGTATGGCACTATTTTGAAAAAAAAANAAAAAAAAAGCCTACTTTTCCCGTGAAAATTGAATGAAAATTGGAAAAGAGAGCGTGGAATTTCAGCTTCTTTCTCCGTGGGACGGCAGTGTTGGTGGCAGCGGCGGCGACGATTCATTGCCTGCTTTGTTTGGCGAGCATCACTGACGACTGGGAAAAGATCGGAGACGCAGACAAAGTGAAGTATGATATTCAATGATTTCGACCGTCTATCGCGCAATGAATAGGGCACTGTAGGAGGTGAGTTCCGGAACTGTTTCGGTACTTTCTTATGCTAGAAGGTAATGAAAATGTGGTCGTGTCCTCGAATGATTCTCGAGGAGTTCCTCTCTCATACCCACGATGTTGCGCTTGCCGTGGCAGGGCTATTGCTCTTTGATTAAAGGCTTAGAACGTTAATTTTCGGCTCTATTTAAAGAACTGGACGGTAGTCCGTTCAGATTGATCAGCTATGTTTCTAAACTGTACGCAAAACAAGCATCTGAGGTGATTCTGTCCATGTCTGCACACTAGCCAGCACTTCAAAATGCACTCGAGTACGAGAAATAACTGAGTTTAGGCTTTTTTTTGACTATCGCGAAATATAGCTAAAGAGCAGACTTTAGCAACTGAGCGCTTTCTTAAAAGTTGGGTTAGGTCCTTCTCAGCAGAACTTCGGGGAATCTGAATATTTCTTCCTAATGGAAAGTCAAACTAATTTATTGTGCATGGAAAAATCTCACTTTTTATAGAATTCTTTGCATACAATGCTTCTTCGCGGATCTGAGAGATAATCGACTTTCGAGAACTTGGACCACGATTAAGCACATAAACCTAATAAATTGGGCCATGTCCCCATATCAATGGAAATGCCTTTTTTCACTTGACGGCTATGATTCATAGGAGCGATTGGAAAACAAGGCCTGGCGAGACCTTTCTTTCACTATTGCCACTACCTCTTAGAGTAATTACGCAAGAAAAACGCACGTCCTCCTAGTAAAGCCACTATTTCGTAGCAGCCAGCTATGGGCCTAGTCTAGGTAAATCGATTTCAGTTGTTTTCACACACCTTCTACAGATAATATTTATTTTTGTCATGCAATTACCAACACATAAGCATAACATTTAGAAAATACAGTTAGAATGTTAGCTGATTAAAAACATAGACTGGAAAAGAAAAAGTTGACAAGACTTGATGAGGATATCCACCGGCATCGCCAGAAACATATGGCAGTTGGTAAGACAAATTAAAGGTTAACTGGACGGGGAAACTAGAGGATCCTTTTTAAAAGGTTTCGAAAGTGTATATGTCATGGAAAGAAAGCAATCGGTGATTGTGAAATAGAAGATGAACTGAAGCAAAGATTGATCAAACATAAACTACTAGGTAGCCTACACTACCTACGTAAATGAGGAATGTGCCATCATTGGTGCACCCATACTACGCAACACTCTGTCAATCCACAGCAACGGTCCGTTAAGGTGGGCCTCTATCCAACACGGGGTTGCGTCAATCTGAAAATAGCAAGACTTTGGTAAAGCGAAGAATCTCCGTCCACTGCAAAAGAAACGGCCGGAAATAGGAAAAAACACAAATCGAAATTTGAATGACAGCATTAGCATTGCAGGTGCCTTACGAAAATTCAGATAAAGGACAATAAAAAGGCCCTGAAATTTTACCGTTTGTCTGCGGTAATCCGCTCCCCAACCCTTGACGAACGAAATTCGTATGGTGCAAAGGCGGGTCAAAGCGTATACTGCTTCGTATCCCTTTTCAACCGATTCAGCAAGCTGAACAGCGAATTCAGCATTGTTGAAGATCTTCAAGTTACAGTTCGGCGGGATCTGGAACACTTCAATTATTAACGAACCGAAACACGTGATACTGAATACGAACAGAAATTTGAACAATGAATAGAAAGATTAATATTTGGCACCTCTTCACGGCATTAGTGCCAAGGGTTGCTCTCAAAAACTCACTTTACAAACAGTTGTTGGGTGCCAGCCGTGGCGTTGGTTACAGTTAGGAGATTGGACAAAAACAGCCGCATCAGAGAGGCACTCACAGTATACCTTAAATGGCGAATTGCAAAAAGTCAGTGACATTACGTTAAACAAGAAGTGTTGCGAAACACAAAAAAGGATGAAACGAGATCTGATTTGACGAAACATTACCTCCCCACCGATGTAGTAGAACCTTGCTCCTCGACCTACTTGTCGACGAGCATCAATCACAGGTACTGGCCGATTCTCGACATCAAAGTATCCAAGACAAAATCTGAAATGAATGAATCTGGAACTCTCAGATGGGAGTACAAATATCATTGGAAGAAACCTCTCTTCAGAACTCGGAGAAGGATAACCATCAACGAGCAGGTAATGTGATCGTACATTGAATGGATCACCTATCCTCTTGCCTTCTTCGTAGTATGTTATAGACATCCAACATTCCGGCTCGCAGTATTCAACGAGCTCTTGTACCACTACAAGAAGTCGGACATTATAACCCGAAATACACAATAAGTTATCAAAGACTTACTATCGGCCCCAGGATGACGGGGTACATTAGAAATTATCGTATGATTACGATCATCGCTTGTGTCCATCATTTCATGTTCGTCACGGTCTTCGCTCAGATATGAATTCGGGCTGAGCGGCGATTGAGCTTGAGAGGTTCTATAAAGGATTATATATCGGTGTAAGCAGCAGCTAACAATGTTAGTTACCCTGTTGTTGGAGAAAGAGGAATTTGTGGCGCTGAAGACGTAGGTGGATACGAATTGTCCGGTCTCATGCTGGACAAAGAAGCAGTTGTCGATGGAACAGCAAACCCTGGTAACGGTGAGGTGGACGAGGGCGAGCCAGTATAACTGCTTGTCGGGGAACTCTCTTCGGATAGGTAGTGAGCGCGCATTTCGTCTACATTGATCGATGCATTAGGAGCACGCTGAAAAGTACTGATGCTGCTACCTTCATTATTCGTAAAAGTACAAAAATCAAGGAAACTGAAGAGGAAAATGTTACACCTAGTATTACAACTTAGCAACACGCTAAAATGAACGGAAACTAGTCACCGACCTCATGCCTTATAAAGGTAGAGATAGACAACCAAACCGATTTCGGGATATAGAAAAGGAAAATGCAAAAAAAGAAAAATGCCAAGTAATAAACTAACATCATCATAAGGCTGCACTGCAAATCCATGATTGCTGAGAGCATTTATGGTACCAGGTGTCGTATGATAATAACCAGCCTTTTTGTTGACAACAACAGGTGGGAGGGCTGAAAATGTCAGTGCAAGAAAGTCAAATTTGCGCAAAAATAAAATGTTCCACACTATGTTTCACAGAGTTCGAGTACCTCCTGTAGCGAATCGTGGTTTGTACTACTTCAAAGGAAACAGCTAAACTTACGAGGTGCTTTTGCATGTATCGGTTCGTAGTGATAGGGGTTGATACAGATTAGATCTGCTTTCTTGGAAAATGGATAACGACAGTTTTCTACCGCACGCAGTTCACGATGAGACCTACAGAACAGCAGTGGACGTTTATGTTTTGCTTTTTGAGTTTAATTGCATAGAGAACCGAAAAAAAATAGACATACTTTAACCATGGAAATCTCCACAATTTTATGTACAAAAGATGAGACTGGTTCTTTCTCAACGTCTTCTTTTTGTCGACATCACTGAAACGTTTATGGAACGATAGTAGATTAGGAAAATGCCTTCAAAGACCATCAGTAAACGTACTTTGGTATGGCACAACAGTTCGAATAACGATCCTCAGTGATTATGGCCTTTGCTAACTCGTCTAAATACTTCGCTTTTTTCAATCGTTTAGCTAATGTCTTCACGACGTTTTCTGCCCATGTTGGATCATCCTAAAATAACAAAAAGTTATTTGATATATTTTTCGATACAAAGGTCGAAGCGCTCTTTTTTTATTCTTTCGTGGGTTTATTTTTGGAAAGGAACCTTTAAAGGGATGAACGAGTGAAAGAACGAGGAGTCATCGGCGTAGTATAAAATAATTGTTCTGACGTTCGTCTTGACTCCAAATGCAATACAGTACACGCCTCATCAAGCACGAACGATTACAGTTGGTCATGATGGATAAGAAAGAGTGGTAAAAGGTGAAGCAGTAAGGTCACAAATCTTGTTTGGTATGTGCATTCAAATCACACTGTCACCTCGAGAGCAGCTTGATATAACCCTTAAAAAGATCGACTCGTCACTGCAGAAAGCACTTTTTAACGGCATAATTGAAATGAACCGTGAAGTATGACATCTCGATAGAAGGCGTTGGACTACTGATTGAATAAAACCAGAAAAAGGTGGCATGCTTGACAGGCACCGCAGCTAATACTTCAGCACAAAGGAGTAGCGCCTGGCATTAGCTGAGCAATCCAACTGGTTGAATAATATCAGGACAATGCCTTAGATAGTGTTACAATTTTAAGGTAGCACTAACATTTCCTTCGTGAGAGATTGTCTCCGTTTTGACCATTTCACACAGCCTTGCAATGGTTTTATTTGTTGACGCATTCGATTCGAACAAGGATCGCATCACTCTGCAAAGTGATACTATTGAGTAATTTACATTATCGAAACCACATGTAAGGCGACTAACAACAGGAATACGATCACATATTGATAATGCTCGAGATAAAAATTCTCGTGAGGGGGCGCACAAGGTGAAGCAAGCATATCTTTGTCGTTTCAGAGAAATCGATAGTTGGTACTTTTTCAGCTAGAAGGTTCGCCAGGAAAGGTTGTAGTTGATTCATCGGGTGTCCATAATAACTAGGCTTCAAATTTGTTACTTCTTCAAGAGAACTTTCAAAATGAATCGCAATAGGATGAATCAAAAATAAACAGAACTTAGGTTTCAGCACGGTGAGTTGATAGTGTGTAAGGACCTTTAGGGTGGTTTATATACAGTCAATTCTGTTCTTTTCTATTCGAAATTTCTTGATGAACTATCATAGCTTTCGGTTTGCGTGACTAATATAGCAGAAAATAGTGAAAGAACGTAATGAATGGCACCTAATGTAAGTGAATCATCGCTTTGTTCTGCTGGAAAAGTTTTTTGGAACTCAATCCATGAACCTTCGGCGTAGTTTCGAGTAAACGACAGTCGCGTTAGTGTCCTCATTTCAAATGGTAAAGTTAGCTGGAAGGAATAAACTTCTCGCTCAATAACAATAGGTGTTAACAAAAGGCGTTGCGAATTTTCTCCTAACTCTACGAGAAGGCAAAGTACCAGAAACAGGTAACAAACATTCGCATCTGCTCAGCTATGGACGAGACAGTAGCGAAACTCAGAGACAGAACCTTCTGAAAACTGATTGGTCCCGACTCAATTTGGAGGAAGCGCCATTTAAGTCTGGATCTTCCACGACAAGAAGGAAACACCTACAAAAAATGACCCAGAGGAGGCGACGTAGATGAGTTCATGTGTTACCGAAAGATGAATAATAATGAAAATTCTAGAAACTTACATCGCCGAACAAATTAGACCAGACCAGGCAAAGTTTGAACGAGTTTGGGCCAAAAGATCAACTAAACTCCGATTCGATGATGATGATAAGAGTTGTCTCCACAGGCTACATTCCAAGTACGGTTTTTTACACATTTTTTCAACTTAAGACTTTTTTTAACTTAACTTTAAATTGCTATTGAAGACTTATTTCTTCTTGGTTGTTCCTTTTAATCGTTTATTGTGCTAGTTTCCTGCCCAGGAGCGCTATCTATAAGTCTTTTCCACTGAAGGAGCGATTTTGATTCTGAGAAATGGTTCGCACATTTTCCCATTCTAACGCCCAGCCTCTAAAAGATACATATTTGAGCACTCTTGAATTTTTTTTTGGAAACAGTTCAAATGCGTCGTTGTTTCAATCAGTACTGAGTGATTCAATAAAAATGATGTTTTTACCCTGTTCGTTACAGGTGTAAAGATCAGGAAATGTTGGATTTTATATTGATGACAAGATAACAATAGGACCCCACGATAATAACCAACAGAAGAAGTCAAAGTTCGCGATGAAAAGTCCGATCGGGACGCAGGTAGAATTTTATTCTGAGAAAAAAAAAGTTAGGCAGATCTCTCGTACGACTTAATTGTAAAGAAAAACCTGTGTTAAAAACGAAATAAAAAAATAAGCGCTGCGAGCGGTAGTACGCCTTTCCAAAGGTGTATCAGTATGCGAGTTTAGAGGTCAAACTGTTGCAGTAGTTGTTCAAAACGCTGTCCAAAAAGAACATGGGCAATCAACACTCCATCAAACAACAGATTGTTAACTATTGCTAGATCTTTGCATCATCGACTAAATTACAAATTCATATATAATCAGAACGTTCAACTCAATCAATTCTCGCGCGTCTCTGAAGCATGAGTAAATAGATAATTAAATAAATAAATTCAGACATCGAGTTTGAACGCTCGCAGCAAGCAACGATATTTGTCACGACGGCCCTTAATGGAAAGAACAGAAATATTCGAAGAAGTTTTTATATGCGGGTTGTTTTTATGTGGAAAACGCTAGTGAATCTTCGAAAAATTGAATAGTACAGCGAAAAATGGCTAGACTTTTGGCGGAAAACCGAAGTAGAGCGGGGGTAAACAACGTGTTGAGTCAACAGCAGTAAGTGCCAATGCTGCCCGATAGCAGGTGGTTATCGTTAAAGGCGTTTTTACTAGATTCCCTGCTCGCGCTGTCATGAAAGAATGCCGTCAGCACAAAGTAAAAACATCTGTGACGATGTCAAGATTTCGCAAGAATCACGTGATTTATACGCTGACCCTACAATTACACTGATAATATGGGTTTCAGCCATTCATCTACCAGATAAAAGCATGAAAAAATTATAGATCAATTACGCACCCTGAAACGTTTGTTTTCACTTCTATTCAGTCTGATTGGATCAAAGAAGAATGCCTTAAATCAGTTTTCTTTCTACCCTCAAGGAGCTGCCGGTGGAGAGCGAAAATTTCAGAAGAACATTTACGATTCAAACAACACGGAAGGCCATCTACGATTCAAAATACATGGAAGGACATTTAAAACCCTGTTCCGGATTAAACGCTACAAGTAGTTGGATTTTCTTCTCAGGTGGAAGCACTCTCGCCAAGCGAGAATAGATACTCTGAAAAAGAAAGAAAATTGATTGGACGCATGTTTCGCACTGATCCGTTTAGTCCAACTCCCACTCTCTTGGGTATTCTAAATTCTGACTTCCCCTTCGTACGCCTTCCCTCCCTAGCAATCAGAGCAAATAAGACATACCAAAACGACAAAAGAACTAGAGTGCAGCGAGCATGTAAGCTCGAGACCACTGAATTAAAAGACAAGGGATTTTCGCAGAAACCCCTCTCAGCATAATACAAGTAAAAGTGAATGTTGGGAGTAACGTGCGCAGCCTTTACACAACAAAGTTGTTACAATTCAGGACGAAAGAAACGAAAGCGCTGTCGGAAGGTGCAATTCTCCCTCGCTGTCAATGTTATCGATATAGCAACTTTAAAGAGCAATTATTCTGAGACTAGAAAAACACTCTTATTTTGAAGGACCACAGGAAAAAACATCTATACAAGGATCCTTGTTCCCAATGCAGTAAATAATGACCCTGCAAAGAAGTTTCGCTGATAAAAAAAAACGATGGGGAATGCTCCACCAACACATCGACATGTGACAATTCTATTAAAGGATACTGTAGCCTTCAAAATCCGCAATTCGCTACGCCTTTTTTATAGCACAGTAATAAATAGATCTACATTGCAGCAGGTTAAACTTCGTACCAGTTTCATGAAGGCTCTTCACAGACTGAATGGTAATTCTGAGTCTTATTAGGGGGAGGGGGGGGGGACTACGTTACGAGGTTTAGTGGTAGAGCTACACCTCCATATGATAAGTTCGAAGCAGCAGGATGTGGTTTCATTGCTAATTCTCTTATGTAGAGTTGCAAAAAGCGGACGAGATTCCGTTAGAGGAAAGATTATGGGTACCAAGGATCATTTTAGTGAAGGGTGGGTAATGCTAATGCATGAGCTCACCGTTGGAGGTTAGATCGCCCACTGCCATCACATCATCGTCAGGGCTCCCGAACACTTAAAAACATTGAACTTACAGGGATTTAGCTGTCTTGGCGACAAGCTAGAAACCTTTCAGGAGCATTCATCTCTTGTTTATGCGGCTCTTTTCCGAAAAAATGCCTTCGCCATGCAGAAAAAGATCATCTGTTATCACTATGCACTTCTGTCAAGGTTCCCCTCAACGGACTTTGTGAAAACCCATAATTGCTTTGATGGGAGCACACATGTATAGATCAGCATCCTGGATAAAAAGAGAACTGAAGGGGAACAAATAAAATTTTTATTCATACTATTTGATGCCGGACTCTCGGTTTCCTCGACCAACTAATCCGTCCACCACTTTTGTTAACTCAATTTCTGAAGAGCTCCCTGGTGGCGGTGTACGATTCCTTTGGGTATGTGTACGAACGTGCGTCCGAGGGTGCGCGCGGCAAAGTTCGTAATGATTTGAACGACTTTGGCGCCCATCATTAGGGCCCAAATTCGAAATACAGTGGATTAGGAGGATTATCTGACTCTACTAAACTACACTACTTCGAGTTTGTGCCCCGAAAATTGGCGCCGCAGTCGTACAAATCGTCACGAACTTCGCCGCGCAATTTGCCGCGCGCACCCTTAGACGCACGTTCGTACCGTCCCCCATTCCTTTTGGCGTGAGATAAATGATGTCGTCTGCAACTTTGCCGTGCGACGACGCACGCGACCGTCGCAAGTCGTGAACACCGCGGTGACGCTAAATTTGAAGCGTCACCTAGGTAGAGAGGAATGGAAGCTAATGATTAGGTCCCTTTTGAAAACTTCTGGGCTCGTTTTATCATTTTCAATGCGAATTAGTAAGTTGGTGATATTTAGCCTATTCAATATAAAGATATACTCATGTACTTTGGCGTTTTCTACCAATAGGATTTTGTTATTTTAACTAACGAAAGCTTTCACAAGTTAGCTTTTATTATCCTGAGTCAGCTTTTAGAAACTAGCCAAGTATGGAGTTTAGCATATCCTTCTTCGAGGTTGGTTTAATCTTATGTATTTGCATTTCAAGATAATATTATGTTGAAGTTCCTCTGTTATAGTTACTAATTTCACACGGAACTTTGCACTCTTAATTGTCCCATTCATCAACGGATTCTCTCTTTTCCGCCTTTTCGTTTATTTTCTTTTTCCCTCCCCAGTTTAAGGATTCAGATATCGTCTTTTTTCAGACAAGCCGATGATGCTTTTATGATACAACTTTGTTAGTTGGTGATTTATCTTTTTCTCACCTGTCTATTTTGTGCCAAATCATCGAATCACGTCGCAGATCTGAGCATGGCATCGTTTATGAAAATGTTTAAGAATAAAAAGGGATCTAACAAGGAAAATCTTCCCAATATGGCAAGTCTTACTTCATTGCAGCTCTTCAGCTTCTCTGGTTATAACACGCTACAAATTTTTATTTACAGAACCGAAGCACTATAGAAAGATCCTCCACAACAAGTAACGATTTTGAAACAAGTCGGAGTGATGCTGGTGTTTATGCAGGGGAACAGAGGAGATCTCGGGAGTTGCACATAGCGAACCCGTACTCCGTTGTGACAGCTCCCAAGACCACGAGAGGTAGTGTTTTCCTTAGTTTTTTTTTATCAAGTATTGCTTTGCTGCAAGTGCTATTGTTGGCCGAACTTAGAAGCGAAGGATCTCATCGCGTAATGCTTTTAGGTCCTAGATCCTGCCCTGGTGCTCCCATGGAAGATCGCAGCTATCGGGTTAGTACTCGTCGAGGAAAGCCTCTAAATGATCGCTACTCCTCTATTAATACTTCACTTCGGTATGAAAACGTTGGAAGGAAGCGGACCGAGTCAGTTTTACCTACTTTGCTTTTTTTCCGCATCAATTGCTGAATGCACGAAATTTATTCAAATTAGCTGACATTAAGCTGGTTTCTTGAAACAATATCCGTTTTTTGATTGTCAAAGTGTATCTGTCTTGAAACGTTGTTCAAGCATTTACAATTGAGTGATCATTTTTAGTGTCTACCAACATGAAACTATCCTGGAATATAGTAGCGAAAGTGCGAATTCTAGTCGAGGAAGTCCACCTGACATACATTCTAGGAAAGATGTAAGTTCCTTTTTGATGAAGTAGTAAACATGACATGATATCTTCTCTCCAGCTTGCACGCGTTCTCTTTTTTCCATTGCGGAAGTCAACTTTATTTTTTGATAACTCTTGTAATCGATTATTTATCAGTCGAGACGCTCTCAAAGCCAGCGATACTATGGTGGTGCTCTGAACGAATCAACGGATGATGATGATGACAGAGCCAGCATGCATATTGTAAGTGTGATCTATTTTTTACTGTCGTATTATTCTTGAAAAGTGTTATATTTTTCTGCTTATTTATTTATCTACGCGCTAAATCATGACAAATTAGATCCAACTAGAGGCCAAACTGAAAAGAGCCAAAGAACTTATTCGATCTACGAGGAGAGATATGACAGAGAGGATAGAAGAGTTGCAAGACGAAATTGAAAGAAAAAGGTACGCTATGCCTCCTCCCTTAGATTTTGCTACATAAAGAATGGTTCCAGCCGCGATTACGACACTCTTAAGTGGCACTATAAACAAGCTAGAAAAGCCATCGATGATGAACGAAAAATAAACGCGCGGCAAACAAAGAAACTCCATCAAGCCCTTGAAGAAGTGGTCAGTGCTAATCCTGAAATGTTCTTCAATTGCAGTTGGATATTCTCTGAACTCGTGTCTACTACTTATTTTATGCTGTTTCAGTCTCGCCTGAAAGCATTGCTGGCAGAACATTCTAATGATAGTTCGTTTCTGATCCCTTACTGTGGCGGTCTTCCACCAATGGGTTACGATTCTGGTGCAGGAGAAGCGCTCTGTTCCTTAGCAGAAGCTCAATCTGATGGTATCAATGATCGACTTTGCTCCTTAAATGAGGTCCACGGCGGTAGCGTAAGTGACGGGCTATCCTCACAAACTGAGCACACAAATACTCGTGAAGGTACGGCTGAACCTACTCTGAAATTGGATAATCAGGAAGATATGCAGGATGAGGTTAGTACTCCACTCCAGCTTGCTTTATTTTTTTACCCTAGTTTGAGCTGTTCCTTTCCCCTAGTACTGCATCACATGATTCAGTTAGACTTCTCATTATAGAAGATCCTTAGTGCTGTGAAAAAAAACATCTGTCGTTCTGTTTACGTAGTTGAGAATTCATTAGTTTCTGTCGGTCATGCTCGTGACTTTCATCAGATTTTTTGAAGCTTGCTAGATACCTTTTTTGTAGATTTTTTTCACGCTTTCACTGTAATGTTTTCAACGAGTAGAAATATTCAGGTTCGCATTTTTCGAACAGCTGAGTGTGACACGCCGCCTCCAGAGAGGCCCAGAGCTGCTGTTAGTCCAATAGAGCCGTTATCGTCGTTTGTCCCGTTGCCGGACTTTACAATTAATAACGAGCTTGTTCCACAGAGGTCTGTTCGTTAGTGCTTAGGATTTGTGATTATTGTTTCAGTGACTTCTATTCATGTAGGAATTTCATTCAGATCTCTCTCTGACACGGATATACGTACATTAGTGCTTCAAGAAACGGAAAAAGATGAAATGAGGAAACTGCGGGACTTACCGGTCGAAAAGCAATACTGTTCGCGGGCTAAACCAATTCGGAAAGACTACGACTACTACGTAAGGGTGAGTACTCAAAACACTGTACTCGGGAAACATGTCTACAGCACTTGGGATCGATTCTAGGAAGGCGCTTTTTTCGATGCAGTTGGAGGTAGTGGTCTTCTGAAAGATGAACAATTTTTCAATCGCGATGTTGAGCCGATTGAATAGACTTGCATTATTTAGTGTTCTCACTTCTTCTCTTTCCTTTTATTGACCTTTTGGCTATTTGTATGTAAAAAGTGAAATATTTGCTGCAGGGTTACAATGAGAAGATGGAAGACGACGGCTCAATAAGTACTTCAGATGAAGAGACGTGTCGTATAATAGAGAAGCAGTTAAGGAAGAAAGGAGACGTAGTCCGATTTCAACCGCCCAGAGTAACCGTTCATCCAAGGCACTACAAAAGGTAGTTCACTTGGATGATTTTAATTTTTTCTCCTATACTTCTGCTTTTTAGATTCGGCAAAATGGAGCGGTGCGCACTAGCGGAATTCGATTATCTCCAGGATATATCTACCGACGTTAGCGCGTTGCAGTCGAGCCCTGACTCGCATCACAGTACAGCTATCTGAGTTCTTAGTTCTCATGTACTGCCGAGGGCCAATTTTGTTTTAACTCCCTTACTCTTTTTATTAGTTTATTATTTTGTATTGTATTTAGTCGTGCCCTCTGTATATATAACTTGCGGTATAGCCTTTGGCGCTAGAATTTCCATTTCACACTAACAGTTACTGACAAAGAACAGAAGCACTAGAGACCACTTTGTATTCTGTGTAGTAATCTGTGCATTATCGCATTCTGTCATTTGAAAACATATTCCTTGTTTGCTTTATGCATTTTCCTATTTGCTTCTAGGATATCATTTTTAAGCATGATCTTCACTTATTTGACTCGGCGTGTAACGTTCGTGGGTTTCTATGATTGCGCATTTTTACCGTATAACGTGGTTGATGGCAACACTGATATCCTTCTGACACTACTCAATTGTCCTTGCCTTAACGGTTAACCCTTTCGTGCATAACATGTCTGACATTGCTCATATTCCTTTTTTTGAATAAACTTTAGAAGTTGAAAAGTTCTGCTGCGATGTGAAAAGGTTAGTACCGAGCATTTGCTACCTTTCAGTTACTTGTCAAAAATTTTACTAAGCTTGGTAAAGCACTGCAGTCCCATCAAGGTATGGAAGTTGATGAGACGTTAGTGAATGGTCATGCAAGTACAAGCGGTATCAAAGAGGAGAAGATGGAAGACGGTGAATGGGATCCGGACGAAGGGATGAGCGATTTTTACCGTCATCATCCTTGTGCGCGAAATGAGCGTACGTTATAATCTTTCTCAAAAATTACAGACAAATTTTTGCAAGAGACACTTATTAGTGCTGCTGAAGCCTCCAAACACCAGGTTATTCACGTAAAACGTTTTCGCTCATGTTGGTCTTTTACTCGGACATTTGGCCTTTTGAGACGAGATATTTCACCAGTAAGAGTCTATTCGTGATTTTTTTCTAGCTTATCCATCTACAAGTCGAGGGTCACCGGTCAAAGAAGAAGATAGTTCTGATACGGTCGACTACGTTGAAGTCAGCTTGTCGGTCCGTTGTGATTGAACTGCTTTATTTATATCAACTTGTCGATAGGAATAAGCCTATTTAATTCTAGAAAAGCCCTAAAACCCCTTTTGTTCCTCCATCGAAAAGAGACGATGCACCGCTCGCCTCCATATTAAACCCTCAGTTAGACAATATCGACCCAAGGTGAAGCTGTTTATCAGTTTTCGCTCTTCTTTAATCTATAGCTGGCGACTCATTGTTTTGATTGAAGGCGGTTCTTCGCTGACTATGAACTCGACTCTGTTGTTCGATTTTCTCGGATATTCGCTTCAAATATCAAATCGTCGTCTAAAGCGGAGATTTGGTGGCCGTCGAAGACTTTTCACAAGAAAGTTTCTGCTGAGGTTGGTGCCTGATTTGTTCCTCTCTGTAACTGATTTATTTCTCTTCTTCGACCTTGTACGGCAATTAGATGTTCATCAACTTTGATCATTTTTCAATATTTCAAGAAGCAAGACGAAGTAGCAGCTCAATTGCAGTTATATTTTCTAGAAGCCATCAAAATCTGAGAGGAAAGGTTTGACGTTGACATTCGCTCCAGATCCTCCAGTTGAAGCGTTGGCCCCGGATGAAGAGGTTCTTCATGGCTAAAGAATTTACAATGCGACTTTACTATCGTGCTCATTCGGATTTTATATTTAGGCCTTGATGCTGTCTTCGAAATCCAATGTAAAGTCATCACAAGCCAGCACTTCACATGCAGGGGAAGGACCGGCTGAGGAAACAATGGCTCCATGGCGTGCAGGACCTGCTAAGATTTGGTATGACTTCTTGCTATGTTTCTTCACTATTTCATTTTATGGCATCATTAGTTTCTTTTATACCTTTCTACCCTTATACCTAGACCTCACTACTGCAAGATTTTGTTTATAAAACATTTGCTATTAAAAATGTAAATTTGCACTATTCCAAACTGTTTTTCTTAATTATTTTCTTGTTGTTTTTTTTTTACTTTTTCCTTCTAGAACCTGATAGATGAATCATATGCTGGCACATATTTAGTCATTGATTTTTCTTCCTCTTTTACTTAACCTTCACATTATTCCTCGCTTCACTTTTCATTCATGCCACACAATTTCTTCAATTCCCTCTAGTGCCGAACCTTTCTCAAACTTTATTCGATGTTTGCTCGAGTATTCGATATGCCGTTTATTTTGTTCCTTCCCAAATGTAGACTTTGCTTTTGAGCTCCTTTTAACTACATTAATAGCTCAGTTGTTCCTGTTTGTCTCTTTAGTTCTCCACTACTTTGCCTAATGCATTCGCCTTTCTCTTAGGATTTATTTATAATTGCTTCGGTGTTTAAAAGAGTAGAAATCCTATTAAAAGCGCTTGCCTCACTTACATCAATTACGTGGAGTGCTGGCTACGCGATTAAGAACCGTCCGCTTTTTTTAAAAGAATTCTAGTCTGATCCACACCTTCTTGTGTGATGATTTTACACGAAATATGGCAATATTTACAACTTAGCTGTGACTTCTTTTTCGATTTCTTTCGAGCTCTTGCGCTCGTCGACACTCTCTCGTCCATAGGAAATCTTTAGGTTTGACCGCGCCGGTGTGCCATCCACGGCTTCCACGTACGACTATGGGCTCGTTAAACGAAAAAAGGTATTGATAGCTTCGAAATTCTGCTTCCTGAGAGCTTGAGTCATAAGAATTTCGTTTATTTAAGCAACAAATCGACCTAAAATATTCCCAACCAAAATTTTAAGGAAAATACTGCCGACCGTGAGCCAGAAGGAAGACTACTACCGGCAGAGCTTATAGAGTGGGAAGATGATATAATTATAGAGGGCGACGATTTTCGGGATGAAGTAAGAAACTTTTCGAATTACAATGTTCTAATGACTTATTCCGAGCTTTCTGATTGAAGTAACGAATTAGGGTTTTTTATTTAGTGTCAAACACTTTTAGCTTAATCATTTCTCAGTAAGCTCGAAGGCGGTATAACNTGATGCTGTTAATGTTATAGGTATTAGATGAACTTAAGTATGGTGTTGAGCCGGCTTGTGGATGGGTACCGACACAGTACACTAGGACTTACGAGCAGTACATGCTGGCGGGTGAGTTAGACATATCATTAATTGATGGGCACTCTGGAAATCATTCATTGATCTTTGCAGTCAAAAATGACGCATTTGATTTGATGTTCCAACCAATTCAAAAAGGCATCACGCCGTCTCCGATAACGTTAGCTCCGCATCCAGGTAACACTGTTAAGGTCATTATGTGAACAACGTAGAGTTCTCTGCATAGAGAGATCGTTATCGTTCGCTATTCTGAGATGTTTTTCCTTTTGGGATCTCATTCTAGCTTTCGCTTAATTCCAATCAGAAATCAATTTTAGATATAATCACTGAGCCTAGCGCCTCTCATTCCTTATTTCCTCACGACTTCGTTAATCAACAAGAACAACGATGGGAAGATAACGTAATTCTTGATCCAAAGCAAGTTGATAGGATAACAGGTACCTTGTGTTTTTTGTATCTAAATATTTTCTGTTTTATTTATTTCTGTTCTTGTCAGAACCCAAAGTGCTGTCTCTGGATTACCTTGATGACCCATTAATATATGGTATGCCGGATGATCGGAGATCTGATGACCCAATGGATTCGACACCAAACAAGCCGTTTGATCGAAAGGTGATGAACTTTTTCGAGTTCGTTATTGGTTCATTTGTATAGCACATGTCGAGGGGCTGCTATAAATATTATAGGAACATCAGTTTACAAAGAAGTCCAAGATGATCCTCGGTCAAGTACAGCAGCGGCAAAAGCAAGAGGAGGAAGAGCAGGTAGGTATTGCAGACAGTGTTTTTAAATCAGCTTTTGTAAATTCTCATTGTGAATATGGATTTCATAAGGTTAAGTGTCTATTCATTTTAGATGGAAACATCTGTGGCTCAAATGACAGACAAAGACCCCTTTAATCTCAGTAATGACGACTATTATTTACCTAAGGCTGTGAATAAGTGAGTACTAATCAATTTTTTCTTGTCATAATTTATATTCTGTTCTTTGATTACTCTAACGTTTTTCATGCAATGCTTTTATCTTCAGATCTGGTCCTGCGGGTAACAGCATGCTGATACAACATTCAATTCCTGCTCAAAATATACATCGAACCTTCTTTCCTACGTTTCTCATTCCTTCCAAATTGCGGCATTTCCACAGGTAATCTTAAAATGTCAATAGCTACAGCCACAATTGTGACAGCCGGTACACTTGCTATTTTCTTACATATGTTTTAGGCAACCGCTGTCGAAACGGGTCATTCGTCAGTTTAACGGAAGGTGGGTGGAAATTAAGAAACTCACGAAACACATCAAAATCAAAGAAGAGGTTAGTTGTGCAAGTCTTTTTATTGGCGATCTGACAGGAAGGTTTTTGCAGCAACGAGAAAAGCAGCGTTGTGCTGAAGGTGGCGGTGATATATTCTTCATGCGAGACGTGGCCGATCTCAGTGGTCGTGATGGCGACCTAGTCCTACTAGAATACTCTGAAGAACATCCACCTTTACTTTGCCAGCCTGGTATGGCATCGAAAATCAAGAATTACTACAAGAAGGTAAAAGAACGCGATTCGGTTGAAACCCCATCTGACAGTTTGCAATTATTTATTATAGAAGCCTGGAAAGGATGTTGATCCTGATTTCGAGTTTGGTGACATGGCCTACTTGCACACCGTTCCATTTCTTGGCCAACTGCAACCTGGCCAGGCAATGCAATCGATTGAAAATAACTTGTTCCGGTAAGATAAACAAATATAAGTTTTTTCCAGCAATTCATACTCACTTTAGCGCGCCCATCTATCGGCATGCCCCTCAACATACTGATTATCTTCTGATACGGAACCGCAACGGGTGTGTATTTTTATATGTGGTTGATTTTGATCGTTTTTTCTAAAAAGTATTAAACAAGTGATTCTTGATCTTCTAGATGGTTTATTCGGCCATGTCCTCCCTCTTTCCTTGTTGGACAGCAATGTCCCTTGTATGAAGTACCTAGTCCTAACTCCAAAAGAGCCACCATATTTGTTCGAGATTTTCTTTTGGTACGTTGCTTTCGTGGTAATGGCGCTGTTGATATCGATATGATTGCAGAGTTTGTTTCCTAGGCATTCATCTATCGACTTTTCTGGGCTAGTGAGCACCGACCACGCCGGTTAAAAATGGATGATATCAAAGCCGCATTTCCTCACTATGCAGAGAGTAGTGTGCGGAAACGCTTGAAACAGTGTTCGGATTTCAAAAGACTTGGAACTGGTCCGGATCAGAACTACTGGGTTAGCTTTCAAACGTGGTTCATTCGTGACCATTTATTTTGCCTACAAAGGAACTTCACTTAATCTCACTTGTTTTCACCTGGTTTTCTTTCATTCTTCCCAGCTAAATGTTTTATAGAAGTTTTGCTCTGTTCGAATTCATTATGAAGTGAGCAAACTATAATGGCTAATGTTTCCGTGCAA